TATCTGCATGATAAAAACTACCTAAAATGACAGAAACCATCTTTGGTAAGAATGTATTTGACATGTACTTTGATTTTTTAGTTTGTCCCATCTGCTAACATGGAGGCAGCAGACTTAATGACCTATACTGCAGTCAGCCACCAGGGGGCGAATGTGCAAGCAGTTACTTTGGTACAGGCTTAGTTTATATGTATAATTACAATTGGGATATGGTTCAAATGTGGATCAAATGGTTAACTTGCTTCCAATACCTGTGAAACCAACAACTGATTGATATTTAGCTCAAGGGCTGCAGTGAGTGAGTGCCTGTCCCTGACCTTCTCTATACCCATTATCAAGCAATAGGAATATGTCAACTTAGGCTCTGGGACATTGTGATGTGTATATGTTATTTGACTTTCTTTAGATTATTGATTAGATATTGAGAAAATAATATACAGATGCATTGTCAAAGGAAGAAATCTTCAGTTGCAACCCTAGTTACCGGCAATGTATATTTTGTAACAATTAATAATGAGGGCACAAATCATATACTTAAGTAGTATTTAATTAATGCATGACTCATGATGATTTAATGCATTCTTAATGCAGGATATACCATGAATTGCTCACCACTAACAAATTATTAAGTCACTGTGACTTTATGTGATTAGTTCACACTGAATAGATCAGCAGTTAAAGAATGTTCATTCATACATTAATTGATTGATATGAGACCAAATTAGCAGGATTCGAGTTACATAAAAGTTTATTTCAGGACCTTGCATTCTCTCAGCCTCTTTGGTAAAAAAAAATAAACCCAAGAATAAACCCAATGGTATTTTTGTAATAAGACTTTTGTTCCACTCACTATGTTATGTAAATACCATTAGGTCTATGCTCATAGAAATATTTATATCAATAAGAGAGGGCGAGAATGCAAGGTTCTTTTTTTAATATCTAATTGGCCACATATCAATTCATGTATGAAACAATTAAGGTTACTCTTCATAAAAAGTCATAGTGACTTGATCGTTTGTTAGTGGCGAGCAACAGGAATTCTTAACAATAATAAACTTGAATTTATTATTATATGTGTTTAGTAGTGTATAATTACCTGATTATAGGAATCATGAATGAGACATTTTATCTACAGACACTGCAGGTTGTCTTCTGTGGAGAACCAGCATGTTTGTACAGTAGCTGAGAACAGACAAACCAAACACTGGCTGTAGATTGGACCTTTTGCACTTTTCATGAGTTTCGTGGCCACCGTAGTTTTTCCCACACATTTCACAGCCGTTCTCATTCAGAGGTTATCAAATACAGCCGCAAGCGGTGTTCAGTTATTTGTAATCTGAATCTTCACCGCTAGATGCCACTAAATCCTACACACTGGTCCTGGTCCACTGGCACATGATTTGTACCCTTATTATAAAGTCTTACCAAAAATTCCCACATACCTATAACACAATGGAGCCCCAGCTTTAACATTTAGCTAACGTCATTTCCAAACATTCCCATCCCACCACTGTCCCCTCCACCTGTAGGTCAGAATTCTCAACTGTTATTCCTCCTACCTGCCTTCAGTTACAATACAATACAACAAACTCATCAGTGAAACCCCCAGGGACAGTGTCCTTGTTTCTGCTTTCCCTCCCCACCTTTTATGCTCTTCTCCTCCCTTAGGCTGTGGGTCTGGGCCTGGACT